CGATCATTGCCGACACTTCGCGGAAGGAAGGAATCGTGGAATCGCCAGGACGTAACAATTCTATATAAGTCAAATAATAAAAATGTATATTCAATGCTGTGGTTTTTATAATATTTTTGATAGAATTCTCACAAGATTTATTTTGCTATATTGATATAAACTCATTGGCCCGTATTCTGAGTTCACATCTATCCTTAGATGTGCCTCTAAATGTACCTTAAATGACACGATAAATGTGGCGGTATTCTGTGCGCACATTTAGCGGTACATTTAGAGGCAGATCGCCATTTTTAGCTTAAATGCGCAACTTTATAGTGAAAATCGTATTCTAAACCACATTTATAGCACATTTATGCCATTCTCAATAAATGTAACACTAAATGTGCCCGAGGGCACATTTATACGTACATTTATACGTAATACCGGCGCGTTGTACTTGATGGTACGTAAGTTTGATTAATTCTATCACTGTTATACAATTGATTTCATTAATAAAATTATTACAGATCAAGTTTCTGTAAATAATAGAACTTTTTTACATAACAATATTAATGATATTTGGTCAATTCTGAAATTTCTTCTATATATGCGCGTTTGCGTTTTGTATTGCAGTAGAAAGAAAGATCTAAGTAAAATTTACTAATTTAACTTATGGCGCGTGGATATAATGAACTGTTTGAAGCCCAGTCACAGTGCCGTGTGCGCGTAATAAGCATAATATATATACAACATGGTAAATCAATAAATAAATGTACCTCTAAAATCATAAATGTACCTCTAAGTTAGAAGCGCTATAAATGTGCGATGAGAATAAACTGACTTTAGTCGTACATTTATCTGCGCCTTTAAATGTGGCACTTTAGATGTGCCTCTAAATGTGAGCTCAGAATACGGGCCATTGTCTTCTACATAGTGAATTGTAAGAATTCAAATAAATAATTAAAATTTATTTATTCATGTGAATATGTATATAGTACTCGGAATACAATAATGAAATAATAGACATCATTGACAGAACCAATGACACAACAAAAGTTCGAAATAATCGAAAAATTTATGTTTTATACGTTTTACATATGCAACTTCTTAAAAAAACAATAGTATTATATGAAAACACTCTTTTTTACAAAAACGGTAATATTATATATCAACTTTTAAAAAATTCTTTTTTATATGCTTTTTTTTTCAAGCCTCAACATGTCGCTTTTTATCTTTTCTCTTTATGTAGATAATAGATATTTAATATTAATTTTCATGAAAAAATTGTGTTTAGCTATATTTTCTTTGTATAATTATTTGTCAGATTTCATATAATCGATTGAATAACAAAAAAAGTGAAATAACAGTTGAGAGTTTTTTGATTAACTAAAAGCTATCGATCGAACAAAAAAATAAAATTTATTTTTACATAAAATTTTAGATTTGGTGTATTTTATTTGATATTTTCCATTAAAATAGTAAAGAAGTTTATGCATTTTCTATATACCGTTTGTCGTTAGTAATAAGGTTGTTAGTAATAAAGAACTGAAAGAGTTCTTCGCATATGGAGCGGAAGCGGAAACCCTTAATCAATTCTAAGGCCATGATCTCGAATTCTTGCATTCAAATTATACAATGATAGCGCAATTCAATGGATCTCTTAAATTCCTGCACAATAAATAAATAAGAAATTTTTTTTCAGTAAAGTTTTGATAAAAAAAATACAAGAGACTTTGTCGTCACATTCTAATTTTGCTTTAGTAAGATAAAATTATATATAATTAATAAAAAATATAGCGTTAAGAATATAGATTTTATCAGCATCATTTATAATTAAAATAAAAAATCAGCGATTATAATTAAAATAAAAAATGTGTATAATAAAATCGAAAAAAGCAAATGTAAAAATTCATTGACATAAGTGAAGGATATAAAAAATTTAGCGGAATGATAGTGCAAAATGCGCGAAAGAAAACTGTTTGAATAGAAAAATATTTGATTTTGTTATACAGGGTGTTCCCGGATTAAATGACCAAACTTGAAATATGAATTTAGGACCTTAAAACAAGAAAAAATTTTTCTCTGGAAGTATGCTCGCAAACGCTTCGTTCAAGAGATATTGACTTCTGAAGTTATGAACTATAGGAACGAATAATTTCGAAATAATCTAGGTTTATTCTATTTATTGCTGTACAATCATTAAAATTTCATAATTAAATGTTTTGTTCAAAATGATGGCCTCCAGCTCGGAGACAAGCATTGCACCTATCGATGACAGAAAGCATTCAACAAACTAACAATTATTTGGTACGAATGTGCGGAGCTTTGTTTACAGTGCAAACACAAGCCTGTCAATGGCCTTCGATCTTAAACACAAAAATAAAAAGAAACATTTCGAAAGTATTCGTTCCTATACTTCATAACTTTAGAAGTCAATATCTCTTGAACGGAGCGTTTGCGAGCATACTTCCAGAGAAAAATTTTTTCTTGTTTTAAGGTCCTAAATTCATATTTCAAGTTTAACCATTTAACCCGGGAACACCCTGTATAATGAAAGGCAATTTATTTAAATAAGATTTGTAAAATGAGCATATCATTGCTTTTGATTATGAGCGTCATGATTGCGCCTGCTGTATGATGACACTATAATCTTGAAAGAATAATTGTTTTATTTAAAAATATATATTATAATGTATAATAATTGATGGAGTATGTGTAAATATGTAATATTAATTATTTTTTATAATTTTCTTTTATTGTAATGGTGTGTTTTTTTAAATTAATAATTAATATATGTATATTTAATCCAAACTCTCTTTCAAGGGACATATACACACATATACACATACACATCTTGAGGATAGAATAAGCAAATGTAACACATTTATTTCACAAAGCAAAAGCAATATTTTTCGCATTTTTATTAAAAATTTTTTATGAGAATATGATATACAAATCAGAAAAGTGTACTTGCGTATCTGAAAAAAATGTGTGCTCATCATGCTAATCATGCTAATCATTAAAATATACACCTTAGTACACTATCTTACAATTATGTAACTATATTATATAATTTGCATGCAATTTTCGCAAATATTCCTTGATTAAGAATACTATAAAAACGGATGAATATATTAAAAGCCGCTCGTCTTTTATGTGTTCTCAATGTTATCCAATTTATTTTCAAGTTACGGTGAATATTTAGCGCAATGTATTTCACATTTATTTGCATTTTACGTGCTAGCGATGCTAGCAAATAATAAAAAAATCTTAATATTTTTTAAATCGTTCTTAATTACAGAATAAAACGCTATATAATATCTATTTTTTATTATCTATATAAATAAATCGGCACTTTAACTGTTGCGAGTCAAAAAATTTTAAATGTTTAGAGACAGAATATTATATTTTTATCATATTAAAAATAAATTCAGTCTTCGGCTAACTTGATAAATATTTTTACTATAAAAATGCGTTGAGCTAGCTATAGTTTTATAGATATTGTTAAGATATTCGAACAAGTTTGATTTTCTAAAGCAAATATTATTATGGCTCTTAATTGATGTTTGAACACAATTATTGGACAGTTATTTAAGATACCGACAAATATCGTTATAACATAGTACAAAATATTTCTATTAAAGCGGCGCTGGGCTCTCATCGTAGGGAAGTTGTTTGGTTTGTATGAACGATCATTGATAAGACATTTATTGATAAATAATTCTGTCTTATCGATATTCGGCAAGAAACTTTTTACAAGAATGTCTGTAAATTAAAGTTAAATTAAATCAAATGTCATTAAATTTGAAGTCAATGAAACATAAAGTATTATAAAAAAATATAAAGTTTATTATAAAAAAATCATGTTATTTTTAAATTTTCTCTAACAAGATTAGTTAATTTTTACTTTCTATTGCAAAAAATATATATATTATATAAGATTATATTTCTGTTCGCATATTTTTTGTTTTTGATGTTATTAAATATGTTTTAATATATAACAAATTTGCATAATAAGAATGTATTATGAATGAAATACACGAAATCTTCTTTAAAGTGTTTTGCCAGAAGCAATATGTGATAAATTAAATTTAATTAGTACACCTAGTTGTATATTATATATGGAAGTTCATTTCACAAATTTTTTAATATCTCGTATAATCGAAGAACCACATCTGTACTTTTACAGAAATAATAATAAAATTATCTAGATCGCATTTAATCCGATAAAAGTGTTAAAGATCGCTCTTGTAAGCCGATCGTTTTCAGCGCAAGTGTATCAAATTAATCTTTCCACCTTTTCCTACTGGCATGCGTTAACCTACTTTCGTAACTTGCGTTGCAGAAATATCGGTGGATTTCTATCTCTCGTGTATTAGGTACGACGTTTATTACAACTACGTTACAGGATCTAATATGTATTCCCTTTGATAAATCATCCTTGGAAGAATCATCCTTCCATTTGCACAGTTACAGTCTTGCGAATAGAAAAACTCCGCATCGAGTCCTTTAATCGGATTTGTCTACATTGAAGATCGAATTACCATTGACACAAATAGAGCCGTTGGCAGCAATATGCATAATACCATTAGTCTTTGATTCTTTCGTCGTTTCTGATCGTTTATTCTTCGATTTCATATAATTATTTACATAGAAAGATCCGAACATGTAAATGAATAAGCCGGAGTTGAGCACGAGTAGGAACGAAAGCGGCTTCGGAAAGTTGCAATTGGTAAATAATATCTGCATATTGTGGAAAAATATTATGATAAACTGCACGATCTGCATAGTGGTCAAATGCTTTTTCCACCAGAGGTACTTCTGCATATGTGGCCCAAACGCTGCCAACATGTAATACGTATACATGAAAACGTGTATAAAAGAGTTGATGATACCGAGGAGGGTCGGATGACCGCCGGCGAAGAATTTGATACCGATCCAAGCGACGACCGGCATCATCGAGTGATGATAGAGATGTAGAAATGAGATTTGACGATCCTTCTTGCGCATCACGAAGAACACGGTGTCCAGAAGCTCGATCAGCTTACATATGAAATATGTGTAAACAGCATGGGCCATCTACAGAACGACATAATTACGTAAAGATCGAGCAAACATTGTGATACCTGTAATTATCAAGTGATATTTCTTTGTCACCTTTTTGCGGTCATGAGAAAATGTGTATCTTTTAATATATTGCCTAATATTTAAATTAAGATGACTTTTTAATAATTTTCTTGATATAGATATTTAAATATATGTGCTAGGATCTAATATCTATTAAACTTAATATTTAATATCTAGGAAACTCAAGTCTTGTGTCACGATATCGAAATATTCATAATGAATATTGATCCCATTTAAGTAAATTGAATCTCTTCAAAAGTCTTATTACCGCTATTTTCTAATATATAAGAAAAAGTTACATAAACATTGCAGAAACTCTACAAGATTGCAACATTGCAAATGTGTTTCAAAAGTAATCATAATGTAATATTATATGTGCAATATTATGTTATATGAAAGAAAATCAAGAGTCTTGCACAAGTACATTTATAATATTATACTAATTGGTTATAGCACACGTGCACTGAAAAAGAAAACTTTAGTCAACTAGGAAAACTTGTCGTAATAATCCAATAAAGTAAATAAAAAATTATAGAGACATTCAAATTTTTACCTACTTTTGTTATAATAATAATTATCGTTAGACAATACAATATATGTCAGATTTTATTTTGTAAATAATAGAGCTACATGCCCCCCCCCCCCCCANNCACATCGAACAATCCATCGTGACATTCTATAATTATTGTATTTTTTTGTAATATTTTTACAATTATTTATTTGAAAAATTAATATACTCGATGTATGAAATTCTCGGGGAAGCCTAATGGAAAGTTAATAAATTAGCTTACTTGATCACCAATGCTTATATCAACTTTCGTCATTTTCCAAATAAGTTTCTCATGTTCGCTTATGTTAGATTATAAAATCAGTAATTGATTTAAATCTTTTAAGATTTCTCGCATGATTTTTATATACTACGTCATCTGTTCTGCTTTCTTCTGAATTGGGAAAATTAAGTTCAATATATAGGGAAGAGAGCGATATATCATATAGAATCCCATTTCATTTTTAATACCTTACAAACTTTCAATATTGCAACTTTGTTGAAATGTTTCATTTTCATATCTCTACAATATTTGTATAATATTGTACTGCAATTTTACAGTAGAATGTTCTATATCATATGGATTATTATCATAGATTCATTTTATTAGCAATAATTTTAATGTCAACACTTACCCTTACGGAGCTCGGTTTATACGAATAATCGACCGGTTGACAGATATAATTATATTCGTATAACCAACCAGCCATCAAGCCCTCGTGAACCAGATAAAGGCTTAACAGGATCTGGATAAAGTTGTAAATTATCATAGTATTCTTTAAATCATACGGCTTCTTGTTCTTCATGTATTTCGGTCCGGCGGAAACGCAGAAGTATATGTACGTCGCTACGATTGTCAGGGTTGGACCAGGGCTAGAAACCAGAAACCATCCATCCGTCCTCGGATCTAGAGAAATGTAAGTAAAATTAAGCATATGTGTAATATTTTTAAGAATATAGAAGTCTTTTAAATGTTGTAAAATTACCATATTTATTGTCTATTACATCTCTATACCACTCCACGATGCCCGACATCTTGCAATCTCAAAACTTGAAAATCTGCGAAAACACGTTTTGCAAGTTATTTCAAAGTTTCAAAAAATTTTTTTGATTTCTATTAATTTTATATCCTCTTTCTTTCAGAAATTTGAGGGAAAAAAAGTTATCCTTCCCACATTTTAATAACAGTTTAAAGACGTGAGTTACAGAAATGTAACTTTATAATACTTGTATATGTAATAATAATAGTAACGATATATTGAAATATTTATATAGAGAATTTTTATATCATAATGAATATGTATGAAAAGAGAAAGAGATAGAAAGACACATTTTATTATTATCTATCATTCATTATTGCAGAAAATTTTGATATTCCAGCTTTCTATAAATTTTAACACTCATAAGAGAAGGCTAGATTACTCTACGAATAGTTACAACATTGATACTGCAAAATATTGCAACTGTGTAACAAACGCGGACATTAATCATATGTTGACAAAAGTATAAAGCGTGTTGGTCTGCTTGTCTTTTTATTCATTCTTGGTTGTCCTAATGATAATATGAGTTTTCATTACGCGGAAAGCGATAAGAGAAACATAAGAGACATAAAGTTGTTTGCGCCTTTCCTAAATTACAGCAGGTAATTGCGACGGCCGTGAGATACATCTACATATAATTTCAAGTAGCATCATTCAGTGAACAATCTGCTAATATCGCGAGACTTATCATTATTTCTCAATCTTCAAGATTCTTTGCAAAAATAAATCAAGGATCGATTTTTTCAATATTAAATTAAATTTTATTATAGCTTACTTATTTATATTTTTCTTCTTTTATATTATATTTCTTGGAAATGACAATTTGAAAATTTGCTGACATTGGAAAAAGCGCGCGGCTCTAAATCTGTAATTTGCAATATTTTAGATATGTTATACTTAAAATAAATTTTGCAACAAAAACAAAATTAGTGGGTAAACTAACAGATTGTATGTAATAATTCTGGCAGTCTCATGCTCCGCTGTCATATTACAAAAGTTTCTACATCACAATGAAATTAATGAACGAGGATTTAGGTTAGCGCGAATAGAGGAATTAATTTTCTATGTAATGCAATTTTCATAGCTGTTTCTTTCTTAGAGTAATCTTCTTAATGTAACCCTGACCCAACATTAGCTAACCACGGTCTTCCTTTTACCTTTGTAAAAGGCTGTCATGATTGACATTAAATGATACGAGTCATTGGGATTCTTCACGCTGCAAAACCGAAAATAAAATAAAAAACCGGCAAAGAACAAGACAAAAAATAAAGAACCAAAGAAACAGATAAGTTTTTTTAGTTAACTACGATTCTTTCCTTATACTAAAAACAAAATATTGTTAAATAAAATAAAATGATAAATATAGCAGGTTTGTTCTATAAAATCTATGAACGTCAGATATTCGAAAATTTCTTATCATTTTGTTTTATAGAATGTCCTATTTACAAGAAGAGAGATCTAAAACACATTACATATAAAATAAGATCGAAGCTAATATCATGAAGAAAAATTCATTGCACTTAGTGTTCGCAAAATTTAAGATTTGATTATTATCCATCATCGGGTCAACGATTTTTCTAAGAAAATAACATATAATTTCTGTTCGCGTTCGGACCAAGGTGAACAAGATTTCAGTGAATAGCTTCAGCGAAGCTAATGTCCTCCTTTGTTACTTCTCTTCTACGTAAGGCAAATTAGCGGACTTCCCCAATGATCAATCTTATCTACGTTGTGCATCGCGACCCTCATCAAAGTTTTGCAAGAATATTGTACAAATTGTTATTACTTGATATATTTATATGAGATCAGAACAACACATACATCCATCCATACATATGTGTCCATACATACATACATACGTACATATATACAATACATAAAACAAAATTTTGGGGAGGAAAGTTTTTAAATAAATACCCTGTATATATATATACTGATCTCTTTTAATCTCCGTTACATTTGTAAATAATCGAATATATTTATATTCGATTTATTAAAAAAGATAACAATGCAAGTAACATGCCTTTTTTAGAAAGGAATATTATTTTGAAAAACAGAAAAATATCTTTTTTATTTGTTTGATTATTCAATGCTAAAGCTTTAAAATTATTTAACGTTTCAAATACGTTATCTTATTAATATAAGAGCGTAATTTTCGCGAAAGATGTGAAATAAAAATTTATACTAACAATAAATCATAATTTATGATATGTTACAGTTAAGTAAGCAATGCACTAAATATTTTTAAAAAGAATATTTGATTGTTAGCAACTGCGTCTTTCTTCTAAATATACTATGAGATATCTATAATTCAATTTAATACAAATAATACGATAATGAAGCGAGCATGTTGCAAGCGACCAGCTAGTTATTATGTTGTCTTGTGAAATTATTATTAGCAGTAAATTGTCGTTTAACAGCGCGTTTTGAAAGAAACGATCAAAATCTTTGAAGGACGGTAATATAATTGCGGCCAAATTTCTGTGGTTAACCGCAGTTTACGAGAAAAAAAGACAATTCTCCTCCTTGTAGAATATATTATCTCACGTTGCTATTCATATACGTTGATGCTATCTATGATGCTCTTTTGACTTCTATTCAAGTTCCATTTTATTATTCGCGGCGTATCTGCCATTAAATATAATTGAAAAACGAAAAGAAGTAAAACGATTTTGCTGAATAAGATCAAATTTTGGCAGTGCATTGCCTGACTAACGGAGGATGCATCTGCGAGACACCCTATCCTCGATTTATGATTGCGGACTGCCCCCGATCCTTGGAAGAGAGACCCCTTGAAGAAAATAAAACAAGTGTAAACCGGTTACAATTCGCGGAACTTCCTGCGCATAAAGATTGTGTGAATAAGGCGAGATTAAAAACAAAAAAAAAATTCATAACTAATCAAGAGTTACAAGGATAATGCGACACCAATCGATTAGTCTGCACTCTATTATTATTTTTTAAATACTTTTAATCTTTTTAATTAACGTGGAGTATTAGTAGTAATATTAGTACTCCTTGATATTTGTTGAAAGAATAAAGAAACTGCAATTTTTTTTTTCTGGAGAAGAAAATAAAGAGAAGCCAAGATATATAAAATATTTACTTCTTATTCCGTATGTAACGTGATTTAGCGAAACTATTCATGAATTTTTCATAGAAAAAAGTATACATATTCACGTGTGAATTGTTTTTTCTACGCAAGTTATGTAAAAACGCTAAATATCCACGTCTCAGGGTTCTAATGTGATGTAGTATACTGATCCTAATACATATACAAGAATGACCATTGGTAATAATATATTGTATGTTAAAAATATGTATTGGGATTACATTGGAAAAATCAACTATCAATTATTAATGTCTGTGTGACATAGCAGGTCTTATTCGTTCAATGTATATATTATGATTTTGCATATATAAATATGTATATATAATTATATGTATAATTGTATGTATAATTGTATGTATATATAAATTTGCAATGTATAATATTCGTTTGTTATGCATAAGTTTAAGTATTTGCACCCTACCTTTTACTGCAATTTATTTGGTTTAATATTCTACTAATTCTATATTTTTTTTTCTGTATATGTATACATAAATGGTTTAATTAATAATATGTGTATGTGTATGTATGTATGGTATATGTGAATGGAATTATTTGCGAAATAATTATATAAATACAGAATAGATGTGTTTTTTTAACTCGCATGAAAATCTGAAGATAACAAAACTGGTACAGAGCATATTCGTTTCAATTATTTAGATTTATTTGGAATTTTAAGAACGGTCTTAAATGAATGATTCAGATCATCGAGAAACTTATCTTAAAGTAATAAATATGTATGAAATTTCGCATGTTTCAGGATTGACGGACATCTCATAGCTTCGGCGAAAGTGAATATACTTGCATATGTGTAAGGTCCCTCAAAACTAACCTTGCCCTTTTAAGGCTAAGAAAGGTCAACATGAAAGGTCTTTATTCGCGAGTGTTCCACCTTGAGATCAATCCCGCGAGACGATGACCGTCAAAATAAGGTTTATGCACTCAGCCGAGAAATACATTACAGTCAATATGGCGATAAACTTAAAAAGTAATTATTTTGATATGCATTTAATATCATTCTCTCTTTCTTTCCGATATAATTACAATATAAATTATATTAAATTTCTTTATTATAGATTGCATATATAACGAAGCTATTATAATAAAAATTTAATAAGATCATGATGATATCAAGAAAAATAATTGAAAACTTAATGTATTATACTTTTAATATATAATATATATTGTCTCGTCCAGCGTACCGGAATATATATACTTGAGAGAAAAACACGAAGATTAATCTTCTCTATAGAATTTATATAAAATATTGGTGCAATAATTTTGCGGATTCTTTCCTAAATACATTCACGAACTATTTATTATATATATATAGATAGAAAGATAAATATATAATAGATTAATGTAATTAGATAGATAGGTAAATATACAATAAAAAGAGGTTTGCCAAACAATTAATCGACGAAATGCTCGGAAGGTACAAAAGAAAATAATATCTAAAATGTCTAAGCGAAAATTAGCAATTATAAAATTTTGGAATTTTAATAGGATTTTTAAACTGTTGTTTATATCGGTATTTAAAACATTTTTTATATTTGCTGCTTATCTTGAAGGATGTCTTTTGTAATAATCGTTCTCAAAACTTCAATTTTTATTTTCATTTTTTAGTTTGACGTTTTTTCGCGCGACCACATTTTTTTATTTACGCTTCTAACGCACAATGTATAAATAATTTTGGCATCGATAAATATATATCGTATCTCAAAGAAAAAATAATGGTACGTGATTATTGGTCGCTATCGAAGTCACTGACTTTCTCGGCCGCGTCCTTAAAAAGTTCCGGCCGTTCATTCACGCGTCCTTCGATGTGCCAGAGCTCGCGAGGAAACTGTCCACGATTTCGCAATCGCCGACGTTTTATATATTCCTAATGTCTTGTAAAAATACATTAATATGTATGTTGCTTTTTTAAGATACGATGTATATCCTGCAATTGCTAATTCTTAAATATATATCGGAGGCAGGTCACTGAATACATACGAATCACAATGCACAATTTCATTGTGCATAACAATTGCGAAGTGCTTGCAGAAACCGGTATACATACTATTGCTATATTTGATTCAGCAGAAGTTTATGTAGGAATTGTCTACACGATATAATGGAAAAATAGATGGCACAATTTTACGATTTAAATTTAAAAAATTTATTAGAGCGGAAAATGAAAACCAGGATTAATTAAGAAGCTTGTTAATTAAATAAGCAAATCTGTTTAGAATATAACAAGAAAAGTTATATACAGGGTGGCCTCGAACGTTCTAGCCAGACTTTGAGATCTTATAGGAAATTTAATTCTGAACAAAAAATTTCCTATAAACATGAGTCGAAAAATGCTTTCTTAAGAAGTTATCGCTCAAAAACCTCTGAAATCGTGATTATTTTACACATTTTTCCAAATATCATGGAAAATGTGCGTCTTTTAACAAAAAGTACCGAAACAAAAGTTGTAGAAAATTAAATTATCTTTCAAATGAGATCAAAATGATTGTTGTACGTTCCATAGATTTTGATATAACCAGTTTCAAACGTACAAAAAGTGCTTTTGTTACTTATTGTTAGATGCGCATATGTAATACGACTTTTGATCGATTAAAGTTGAATCAGGAGGAAATCTGTAAAGCGACTAGATCAGTCATTACTCAATGCCGAAAGTGTATTGGAGCTAGGGGGGGACATTGTGAGAACAGTTAGTTTTTTCACGTCTTTATTCATTTTCTACTATTACGTGCTATTTTAGTTTAAAAAAATTTATTTTATTCTCATAAAAGAAAAAGATTTTTATTTTTTATTTTTATCGTTTTTTTCAAGAAATTTATTAAGTTTTATTTTCTTTTTATTTCATTTTCTTTTCACCTTTTGCTCTTCCTTTGCATCAGAGGTTTTTGAGCGATAACTTCTTAAGGAAGCATTTTTCGACCACTCTTCGGGGTGCAAACGGAGCTGTCATCAGAACTCCGAAATTCCGAAAAAAATTTTAACGAATTTAAAATTTAAACGAAACGGAACGACAGTTCCGTTTGCACCCCGAAGAGTTCTATCGATTATTATTAACGTCCTGAGCTGTGAAACCAAAGATAAAAAAATTCTGGCCGCTTTTAGTTTTACGCTCTTAGAAAATTTCTAAAATTTTTTTCGGAATTTCGGAGTTCTGATGACAGTTCCGTTTGCACCCCGAAGAGTTCTATCGATTATTATTAATTTTTTGTTCAGAATTAAATTTCCTATAAGATCTCAAAGTCTGGCTGGAACGTTCGGGGCCACCCTGTATAATACAAACGGACTTCGAGTTTAATTCTTGTGCAATAATGAAATATTCATTAAGTTGCAAATGCAGCTTAGAAACCGCTGGCTGACAATATTATTGAACCTGAGATTGGCATGCAAGTGAAGGTGCAAAGAGATATTTAAATATATAGTCTTTCTTATATTGCTATATGTGCCGTTGATGAAAAAAGTTTAACATTACAATGTTTTTTTTTTTTTTTTTCTCGAATAAGTGAATCTATTTTATTTAGATGAAACCAGTATTGGCAAATTAAAACTAATTCAGGATTAATTAAGCACGAAGATACTTATAATTACGTGATTCGTATAGTAAGCAGAAATAATTATCGTATACAGATTATTGTATACACATATACAGATAGACACATCCACGTTCCGATTATTTATCGCAGTTTTCAATATTGTGTAAAAATAAATTATTTTAATATTTACATATTAACTTAATGTAAAAACAGATAAATAAATAAAAGTTAAAAAAAAAAGTTTAATTACAATTATATTAACTTACTTAATATTCGATGACACGTTTTCTTATTACTATGCGTCACACAATCATAAATTATATATAATATAATTTAAAACAGTACATTACATGTTTTATTTATTTAAATTATTTTTTTAAGGATATGATATAACTGAAGTGAAAAATTAAAATATATTAAAATTCATATCTTAAGAGGTTTATTTAAAAACGAATATTACGCGTGTCATGCTTGTTTTCACATTCAAAGCGCATTAACTTAACTTTATATGGTCAGTCCAAACTCCAAGTCTGCATGTAATCTCATCTATGTAAAAGTTGTAAGATTTTTTCAAAGTTTTATTGTTCTCTTCAAATTATAAGGCAAAAATGCATCGGTCATTTTGACTGATCGTTTTGTAATGATATAAAATAGGAAAGTTTTTTAAATACGAAGCTTTTTACCGTTTTAATAATATAAATGCAATCCGCTTTTTAAAATTTTATTTTATTTTTTATTTAACATTATTCAATTAGACTCAAGATGGTAACGTGGTAAAAAATTAAGCATTTAATTGTTTAATGTTTTCTATCTGTCAACCGGATGAAGTCACAACTTATTGATGATAAATTATAGAATTTTTTGAATTTGAATACTCACATTAAAGTGCGGAAAAACTGCGACGGATTTCACAGCCGGAATCTTCTCGTCGCCGTCGAAAGATGAACAGCTCGATGATCGTAACGTGCAGTTACTTTATTGATTTCGCGATCTTGCAACTTCTAAGAATTCTTCAGTCTTCTCTTATGTGATTTCAACAATCCGTCGATTCGTCGTAATTACTAATAAAATTTATAATATCATCGCTATGATTATTTTCGCTAATATAGGCTCGTTTGTTGGTAGTTATAGAATACTTTTGAGTCCCGGGATCGTCCTCTGTTTAACGAATGAGGGTAACAAGTGCGTGGAATTGAATCGAAATGCGAAGAAAATCGGGAATAAATAGGAAGGGATCGGCAAAGGGAAAATGGATAGAGAACAACGGATTAGTTGCTGACGCAAGTTAGCGAAGCACCGTCCGGACACCGTGTGTGGAGTGGCGGATAAGTCTTGTCTCGTGGTAACGGACGCATGGTGCACCACTATTCTTTTCCCCTTTCACGTCTCGTCTGAACGACGTGGACGTCCTCCGGAGCGGTAGTGGCGCCATGCACAAGTGACACGATGTTTGCGTTTTTTACAGCGTCAGACCGGTCTCCTTTGTGGTAAACATTGTCAGGGATTTATCACAAAAATATTTTCTTTTTGTTTACAGATTTATGTCAAAATATTACCAATATTTCATATCTAAATATTTATTTATGAAATTTTGTAAATAGTGGAATTTTAAACATTTTATTTAACTAGAAAGATACTTTTAAATAAGCGTACTTTTTAAAACAAATAAATATACGTAAAAATATTTTGTTAACAAATTGAAATTGAAATAAATGCAGTACAATATCAAACTATTAACAATAAGATGCTCAGGCTACTTCCTATTAATGAGATAGCGTATTCATTTAATTTTCAAGAGTGGACATAGATCTATAAATGAAAAAAATAATAAATTTTAAAAACAAAAAAATGTTGAAATGGTATATTTAGAATTCATTATTAATAGCTCATTTATAGTGTAATAGTATAATCGTAGAATAATAGTAAAATTCATATTGTAATAAATATAATCGTAGAATAATAGTAGAATTCATTGTAATAGTATAATTGTTTAAAGATCGGATTAATATCATCAGAAAAAAATTATGTTAACTAAAAGAAAGTTGAAAATTAAATATCAATTTTAAGTGTAAGATGACATATTATAGATATACATTATACATATATATTAATCTATTATTAAGTCTAAATATATTATTAAGTGGGAAAATTGGTAAATAAGAGCCCAGGCGCGGATATCGGTGCGCGAACTTATTATTGTTAGATTTTATTAACTAATATGCATTAAAAATGTACGTTTTGGATCGTTTTCTGGTCCATCTTCAACATGGATATAAATATACAAAGATTAAATTGGAATTTTAAAACTTGACATACACAACATTTGCAGTTGCAGTCTATTTTCAAATTAAAAATAATAATAAATTTTGCAACTGTAAATGATGTGTATATTAAGTTTTAAAATTCCAATTTAATCTTTATATATTTATATCCATGCCAAAGATGGATCAAAAGACGGTCCAAAACATACATTTTTAATGCACATTAGTTAATAAAATTTAACAATAATAAGTTCGCACACCGATACCCGCACTTGAGCTCTTATCTGCCAGTTTTCCCACTTAGTGGCCTATTCTGTAATATATTATAATAATAACAGCGATAGGCTCAGGGTAAGAACAATTAAGAGGGCTATTCTGTAACTTTTAACGATATCGCTAGATATCATTGCGCAGCTGTTTTCCGATACGTTTTAGCTGCGCAATGACACGTAACGACATCGTTAAAAGTTACAAAATAGCCCTCTTAATTGTTCTTACCCTGAGCCTATCGCTGTTATTATTATAATATATTACAGAATAGGCCACTAAGTGGGAAAACTGGCAGATAAGAGCTCAAGTGCGGGTATCGGTGTGCGAACTTATTATTGTTAAATTTTATTAACTAATGTGCATTAAAAATGTATGTTTTGGACCGTCTTTTGATCCATCTTTGGCATGGATATAAATATATAAAGATTAAATTGGAATTTTAAAACTTAATATACACATCATTTACAGTTGCAAAATTTATTATTATTTTTAATTTGAAAATAGACTGCAACTGCAAATGTTGTGTATGTCAAGTTTTAAAATTCCAATTTAATCTTTATATTATTTAATCTTTAATATTTATATCCATACTGAAGAGATGGACCAAAAAATGATCCGAAACGTACATTTTTAATGCACATTTGTTAATAAAATTTAACAATAATAAATTCGCGCACCAATATCCGC